GCCCAAAACTGCATTTTACCCCTATGTTCTATTTTTAGCCATGGCGGCCATGTTGGTTGGTAAGCGGGGTCGTCGGACACATTTTATAAACTAGATACCCCAATAATGATTGTGGCCAAGTTAAGTTAAATTTGGTTCAGTAGTTTTAGAGGAGAAGATTATTGTAAAACTTAACGACGACGGACGACGACGACGAACGACGGACGACGGACGCCGGATGCCAAGTGATGAGAAAAGCTCACTTGGCCCTTTGGGCCAGGTGAGCTCAAAAGGCATTCTTTGTATTTAAAGCTTTTTTCTAGTTTATTTCTATTATCTAGTGAAGAATACCAATAAGTCACAAAAACATATTATAAATGCTGATCAAATTCAACCATTTTCGATTTAATGCTAATTGTCTGTAATGAATACATTTTAAAATAACTTTGCAGTATTACGATATATAAGAAATCACTGGGTCATTTTTAAAACAGTTTTTTAGAAGTGAGTACAGGGTGCTCCTAATCTTTACAATTTCATTTCATGCTACCTTTGTTTTTACACTCAATAATATTTTATGATTGATATATATATAACAGTTGCGAATCCCTAACTCTTACTGAAAGGGTTAAAAAACTAAGAAACTACTAAAAGAGTGGAAAGTTTGGATCGATCCAAACATACGCTAACCTGTGTGGGTTGAACGTAGTGGACGTGCAGAATTTGAACAATCTTTACTTGGGTGCAAACATGTTTGGTCTATCCAAATATACGTATGCTGGTGTCCATGTAATTAATAAGACTTGCCAAACAACAAAATATACACAAATGACCGATGCAATTTATGAAATGTATGCATTATCGAACTGGTTCAATGCATTGATTTCGTGCTTAGAATAGTACTCTATTTAAACCATCTCATTGTTTTTAAGACATATTGTTTTTCTAGCCATAGGAATATTGAATTTACACTCGAGAAAACATGGACGCACAAAAAAAATCACGGACTACTCTCGAAAAACCACGGACATAAAAAAAAGAATTTTATCTCGAAAATGTCGTTACTAATGCAACAATACGCAGCATTTTTTGTAAAGTGTCTGTATATCTAATTATGTATAGATTTATAAAAATTGCTTTAATCTATATTTTGGAATACAGCATAGTAAGGCTAAATAAAATGTTTTTAAAACAAAATTATGTAGGATTGAGAATATCTATTTACTAGTATCACAAATATTTATTTACCTTGTATGATATTGTATATAAGTTCTAGCACCATTTTTTACGTCTTACCAGAATGGATGTCTGTTTGTTTACATTTGATAATATTCACTTGGAAGAAACGTGAACACACTCGACAAAACCTGATCAAAACTCTCAAAAAACCACGATTCCAGCCGTACACTATACCTACTGTGAAGATGATAACCTAGGCATTGAATGCGCAGAAGGATGCCATGATTGAGGGAAAATAAAATAATTGATCGGGAACAATAACGATATCTGAAAAACATGTAAATTGTCAATTATGAAATTTTGTTTGATCAGCAATGATTGCAACGTTAATTAAAAGAAAGGAATAAACAACTTCACCTCACTATAGCACAACATCAACTGATTGTAGTAATAACCTGATAAACATGAACTCGAATACAATCGTCGTTATAAACTAAACAAAAGACTTTGACACGATACTGAGATAACCGTTGGTTTTTGGTGGGATTCGTGTTGCTCAGTCTTTAGCTTTCTAAGTTTTGTGGGTTTTTTTTGTTTGTTTTTTTTTTTGCCTATTGCGTTGTCAGTTTGTCATTGACTTTTGAGTTTGAATACCCCTTTGATATCTCCACCTCCCTTGTAAATGGATACTTATAAGCATCATAACTTTCATTTATCAAACGTTTAATCGACTATCAGTTAAAGAACGGTGTTAAAGACCTACGTTTTGAAACACAGGCGACATACTTTGTTAAAGGCCTCACTGTGACGTTAAGGTAACATTTATAAATATTACTTAGCGTTTGGGTATACACCTTATCGCTATTTGTCCGCCATTACTGGACGTCACAAAGGTTCCCGTAAAATTTTGACGTCATTATAGAAAATATCTGACTCCACAATGGAAAAGTGATTGTTGTATGATGTCAAGCGGCGCAGATTCTCGAATCAACCGGCGCAGATTTCCAAATAGCGATAAGGTGCATTGCCATGTCCGTATAAGGAGGTTGTTCCGTGAAATTATGAGTCATATATCTTCTTTTATAAAAACGCATGTGACAATCGAACATCAGAGAAGCCTTTTTTACAAATAAAAGCATTTCATAACTGATAATTAAACTCATATGATTTTACATTTGACAAATTCACAAAGTTGGTTTTTTTTTCATCAAAATTTCAGCAGACCTAAATGTACACACGAATGTGAAAAATACTTACTGTACATCTAAAAATGACAAAATACATCTTTCGGTAAGATAGATAAGGGTAGTTTTGCTAAGATAACAACTAAGATATAAAAATGGGAAAAAAACTTGATTTCTGAATAATTTATTAAAAATCTTTTTGCTTATTAAACATATTTGTTCTTATGTATTCTGAGGGGCCTGATGGGTTATTTTCGTTCTTCGTGATCGGCGCATTTTCGCTATCGTGATCCGTTTTTCTACAGATTTTTTTTTTTTTTATATTTTCGTAATCCGTGATCATGGAAATTTATTTTCTGTGAATCGTGATTGACAAAAAAATCAACTCGTGAATCGTTCACATTTCGACGAAATTTATTTCAACCCATCAAAAGAAGTGTTCGACAACATTTAATGTAATATTTTGTAAGCATGTTTCAAAAAGAAATTATCATCAACACTTTGTGACTTAAATTGATTCAATTGAAGTTTTCATCAGCATACGTGTAGCAATGCATTTAACAAGCAAGACATGGCCTACATCATAATTCCTCATAGTTAAATACAAAGAGTCAGAAGAGATCGAATAGACAATCAAAACTCGTAAGGAGAAGACAACCGATAAATCATTGCAAAGAGAAAAAGGGACGAAAATTTCCCGAGGTTGATATAAGGTACTAAATATAAAAAAGAAGATGTGGTACGGCCTTCAACAATGAGCAAAGCCCATATACCGCATAGTCAGCTATAAAAGGCCCCGAAATGACAAATGTAAAACAATTCAAACGAGAAAACTAATGGCCTAATTTATATACAAAAAAAATGAACGAAAAACAAATATGTAAGACATCAAAAAAAAAAAAATTGAAAACAACACGTTTGATAATTTCATGCGTCCGAAGCGCTTTTCTGGGTTTACCTTCATCAGCAACAAACGACAACCACTGAATAACAGGCACATACAAACAGAATGTGGCGGGGTAAGTATTGTACAATGTTAGTTGATCGATCATATGATGTTTACATTATCTATAAAAAGCATTTATTATAATTGATTTATCGGATTTTATTTATGAAGATCCTACATGTGTTTTACAAGCTTAAGTAGAATTGGTAAGTTCGGTTCGATATAATTAACATCAGATCAAACACATTTGTGTCGCTGATGTATGCTATCAGTTCTTGGGTATCATATCGCTGCTGAAGGTTTTAAGTTCTAGGGTGAACCATCCACACGGTAGCATATGCTTGTGTATTAGAATCATTCACATGATTCATTTTGTTTGGAAAGGAGTAGAGCCAGTAACCCCAATAAACGGCCCTGTAACGGTGTTTTTTTAAACTTCAAATTGTTTGAGTAAATCTAATGTGTATGTAGTGCTAAGTGTATTATCTTTGAAAGTATAATAGAAAAAAATTATATTTGCTTTATATATATAACTATATAAGCCCGAAAGAGTAAAAAAAAATCATTTTTAAATTAGTCTTTTTTATAAAAAAAAAAGTTATCGTTTTCTGCCATTCTTCATGATTTCATATGTGGCGCCACCCCTTGCTCATTAAAATTTTGGTTGAAAAGTAAAGAATATAGTATGTAAAGAATACTTCAGCACAAATATTAGTGGGCGAGGGGTGGCGCAACTGCTAATTTTTCGGAAAACTGTCGTAAATGTTGCCAAATTATGCAAAAAATCGTTCTAACGCAATTCGGCAATATCTATGACGTCACATAGACACTTCTAATGACGCAATTGATGAAATTCTTTTTTTACCTGAAACAATTAGACATATAAACATATAATCTCATCAAGTTTTCACAACATTATCGCAGTTAAAAATTTTCAGATTTTTAGGGCTAAAACTATGAGTTAGTGAACCAACACCTTAAATTGTTTTAGCTAAAGCTGCATCTCTCACAGGCAAAGTAAAAATGTTAAGGTTTTATCTTGTTGTCTTTTTTCTGGCTTTTCGTATATCCGGCTTTCTAGTTTGTTGGTCTCAATACACACACAAATTATAATATACGATTTTAACGTCAGACAGCCGTTATAGGGAATTTTGTGAACAGCTGATCAAGACGATACAACCATAGATAGGAATTTAGGGCGAAATTTGACAGAATTGTTGCATTTCATGTCAAGTTGCGTGCAGGTTTGAAATATTGCTTTCCCCATTACTTTGGAAGCCAAAAAAACGGGTATATTATTGAATTCGTTTTATTTTATATATAGAAATAAAGTTAAGTTTTTTTTTTATAAATGCATATACTTTTGATATGATAAAAACATTTCTCAAAGCCGTTTTACATGCAAACAATTTCGTAATTTAGATTTTAAATGATTGATTGATTGATTGACTGATTGGTGTTTAACGCCAGTTTTAGCACTATTGTGAAATTTTCTTGTGGTTAGTTTCTATAGATGGAAGAAGCTGGAGTGCCCGGAGAAAACCACGACCTTCGGTAGGAAAACTAACAATCTTAGTATATTAGATTGGAGTCGGGCGCACCTGCCACGTGCGCGACTCACAACCTCAGTGTTTACAGCATAGTGATATAGCAGTTCGACTACACGTACCACTCGGCCACCGAGGCCCAATAGATTATAATACTTGCACAAATATCTTCGCAAAATATTTTATTCAAGACTGTATATGATTTTTAAAATCTATATAAAAATACAATGTAATCTGCAATTAACTGTTGAATGAATAATTAGCTCTGTAGCCAGGACGTCGTCGACAACAAAGAAAGTATTTGAAATTTTCTCTGAAGCGGTTGCTGTTATAGGCATAAAGAAATGGATTAAGTGCAGATTTAAACCATAGTACCCATGTACATGATTCAATCAATATAACGCATATACATGTAGGACAAATAGACTGAAACACAATTATAATGCCATAAGGGGCCCATAAAACTATAAATGCTATTGTTAATATCGCAAGCGACTTTGCAGCTTTTGTTCCATTCCTTTTTTTAGTATTTTCTTTGTGTATATCAGTCGATCTTCTGTGTAAATTTGTCTTACAACTATCAGTTTTTAATTCCAAACACACAACAGAATCTGAAGATCCTATACTACCGGAATGTGTCGAGATAAGTTGTTCCCTAGTTTGTATTAGTTTTCTTATTTCATAAACTATAAATATGTGAATAATTATAAGAGCCGTTAGGGGTATCACAAATTGTACAGTTGTCATAATTGATATGTATGCAACGTTATCGTAAAACTGTGCTTCGCAGTCGTTTGGATCTGTAGAATTTCCGGTCCATATATCCCATCCTATTGTTGCAGGACCATTTAAAACAAAAACAAAAATCCATGCTAGAGCACATTTTAGATATGCCTTTTGAGGCGAATGCGTTTTGTAATAAGTTGACCAATGTCTGAGCAATGACAGGCGGTCGTAGCTTATCAAAATCATTAAAATGGCCGTGACCTCTACTGTTGCCATATCAAATAATAGAAACACTTTACAAAAGTGGTATCCGAATATCCAGACGTTATTTCCGAATGTATATGTTAAATATATTGGCATAGTAATAGCCCCAATCAAAAAGTCGGCTATCGCTAGATTTAAAATGTACACATTGCATGTTTTGTGTAATCCTTTATCTCGTATAAAGCTACAAATTGTTAGTGCATTTCCGATCACAGCAATAAGAATCACTGGTATAATAATAACACCCGCATACGACAAAGGATTCGAGTTGTCCTTCACCTCTTTGGCATCTTCGGATGTGTTTTCCGAGGTCTGAGGCAAAACTTCAGTGATATTCATTAACATTTTGTATCATGTAGGGTCATGGGTTAATCCATCTGAAAAATAGAACAAAACAATTATTGACTATTGGTGTTAATTACTTTTGATTAACTATAACAAGTATCATTATGAAGCTATTAAGTAAACACGTAAATTATTAATTACCTGAACAAAAACTAAACTGACCAACTACAAAATAAATCATTTTTGATATGCCAGCTACATAAGGAGAAAAATCAGCAATATTGGCCCGAAAACATAGCTATTTCGTAGTGCATTTCTTTTGGACAATAAATTCAAATTAAAAAAATCGCACCTGCTCTATCTCCAAAAGATTTTTACAGTACAGTGTACTACTCCTTTGGGACAAACTATATCAAAATTATAGAAAAGTCCATCAGCTCAAACTCAAAATATGGACAATTCTATGTTAAGGGGGTCTATAATTCAGTTTGACAGCTTCAGACATACAGACATACAGATTTTTTACCTATATCAGCTCAATCAAATCAATACTTTACCTAAAAATGCATCACCAAAATGTATTTAACATGTAATTTCATCTCCCTACTTAATATGTCACGCATAAAATATAAAGAAATAAATTTGGAAAGTGTACGAAAAAAGTTATACACTGCCCACACAATGGACTATATATTTAGACAACGAAAATCAAAGGCCGATGACTGTGTCCTGGGACCTAATAGGATAGAAAGATTCGGCCAATTCTAATAATACTTGGCATGACCTTAGCTTAGGGAATTATAAGACAATTGACAAAGTTTCATGGCGATAGGATACATAATATAGACACTATGGCCATTTTAATTTGGAACTTTGGATGTTTATTTTTGCCGTTTAAATCAAACAATTTCAACTATAAAGATTTGGGCATAAAAAATTCTAAAGAGTTAGTGAAATATTTATGATGAACTTCAACTTTTTGTACATAGCTCCTCACATTTCACATGCATCAAACAGGCCGTCCGACCAGGACCTTAAATACAACACATTTTTGCACATTTTTTCGGTAATAATCAACTTTTCTCTAGATTCAGAGTTCACAAATATGACACTGAAACTTGCATTTAGCATAGAAACACAAATATCAAAATAATAAAACCTATCAGATAGAAGGTCAGCATGCCTCATTGGCATAAAAATGGAAACTGCTTAAAAGTGCTTACTTGGCCATATAATGCCCAAAATGGGACATTTTTAACGAATTTCTATCAAATAAAGATGTAAATCCTTTACTTTTATTCAGTTTGACAAATTAATACCAGCAAAATATGCAGGAAAGTTGCCAAAGTACAGAATAAATTATTTACTGGATTCATCTCTTATGCCCGCGAACACAGTTATTTCGTAGTGCATTTCTATTAGACAATAAATTCAAATTAAAAATATCGCACCTGCTCTATCTCCAAAAGATTTTTTACAGTGTCTTGTACTACCTTTGGGACAAATTTAATCACAATTATAGAAAGGTCTATCAGCTCTAACTCAAAATATGGACAATTCTATGTTAATGGGGTCTATAATTCGTTTGACAGCTTCAGACATACTAATTTTTGACCTATTTCAACTGGATCAAATCACTACTTTACCTAAAAATTCATCATCCTTTTTTCAACATGTAATTTCATCCCCCTACTTAATACTTCATGCATAAAATATAATTTCAGAAATAAATTTGGAAAGTGTATGAAAAAAATTTGCAAGTTATAATACACTGTCCACACTAGGGACTATATTTTCAGACAACGAAAATCAAAGGCCGATAACTGTGTCCTCGGACCTAATAGTTCAAAGTCAGTACCGATGTTTGTTTACATTGATGAAACTAAGATGAGTTCATCCAAAGTTTTTGGATCTTGTTGCTTACACCTCAATTTTCTTTTGTATTGTGGATTGACATTAGCCCCTTTGAGTTTGTCTTGAATTATTGAGCTGTTTTATACTTCTTTGATTAATAACTTTGATTGTCCCTTGGTGTCTTTTTACTTGTCATACAATTAACCTTCGTGTAACATGAGATTACTTGTGACCGTAAAAGTACTTAAAAAACAATACTAGTAATATGGCTTCCATGGCTTCCTTCTCAGTGGTTGGCAATGTCTTGCCAAACAGTTCGTTATTAGAATTCTTAAATTCCCTATGATTATAAATATCTTCTATAACTGCTATACTCGTTAATAGACTATTTGAAAGATAAAAGTTCGATAAAACAACAAAATCATGAAACAATATGAAAAAGCAGACATATGGTTGGTGTCAATGAGACAGCATTCCAACGACAAAATAAGTTTAAAGACACCCTGCAGTTCTCAACAGTAGACAGTTATCTATACAACACGTCTATGAAAGTTGTGAATAAGTTAAGAAACTTTTATATATCCATTGAAAGTGATACACAACAATTGGGATTACACTTTGAGGGTTACCCACTACCACCAAAACCTCCACCACATTCCCCTCCCCTTTATAGGATTTTGTATTATCTACGTTTTAATTTCCTGTGAAGTCTGTTCTATGCAGATGTCTTTGTGATTGACTGTGTTATTGATTTTGTTTTCGTGTTGAGTAATAATGATTTAAAGCATAGAATATTTGAACTCTTACCTGTGTAATGTATCCTTATATATCCAACAACTGATTTTTATTATTCAACTTGCTAATGAATATTTTGATTATATATCCAACAACGGATTTTTATTATTCATCTTGCAAATGAATACTTTAATAAGACACTTTGATGCTGACTTTCGGGTTTATATCAAGTAGAAACATAATATTATTTTATAATGATGAGAGGATGAACTATTTTTAGGTTTCCCTTATTATAACATACAATTATAATTTTACATGGTATAAATCACTTTTATGAATGAGTTGGTTCCGGTAACATTTAAAAGGTGTGTTTTCGTCTAACGTAAGATAATATTGATCAATGGTTTTAACAAACTATTTTACAATGAAGTGTTTACATAGTTGTCTAGTCAGATGTTGAAATAAAGTTGACATCACGTAATGGAACAACTACTCCCTGTGTCATTTGAAAAAGTAATTGAAGATAACAAATCAAAAGTGTATTTCCTGTTTTATTTGTGAAAGGATCCTTCCATTAATGTAAAGCAAAATCAAATTTCTATTTTACCTAATGATGTGATAACAATTTGTCACTGAAATTATTTTATCAATTTAGTAGGCGTTACAACGGAATACTGTTATTTTCACACATAGGGGAGGATACACATACATTTAATTAAGTGCAGGGCAATTAATTGAAATAGAAATGTGTTGATGGTTTTTGCAAATGAAATAAAAAAATGAATATGACACTTATTGAAATAGAATTTGGCGAATAATTTGAAATCAACGAATATATCCCTACAATTAATAGCTCTGATTTTTTGTCCTGATTTGCTACATTTAAGGACCTTTCTGGTTTCATCACCTATTTAATATTCATAATAAATTTTGTATATTCAAATGTTTTTGGCTTACATCGTCAATGAAGAGATATAAATTGTCCAAATGTGCATCTGGTGCAATATAATTGGTACCGTTAATGTTATTTCCATTACTAACAAAAAATGCCGAAAGAGTAAAACATGTTAAAAAAAAATCCCAATATTTTAGGCACTAAAATATACATCATGCTATCGTTTAACTTAACTATTAAACGGGCATTAGCTACGATTTAGACGAAAATCTAAAGTAAATTTTTTTTTGTTTCAAGTATTAATAAAAGCGGAATTTTGAAATAATATTTCGTTATAAGCAGTAAGTTTAGCCTAAAGGAGAAGGTCCGGTAAGGGCTAGTTTTGGCCTACTATTCGAAGTACATCTAATGAAAGATTTTTGACATTTTTTAAACACTTAAGTGTCTACCTCAGTCGATTCAATTAGTTTATGTAAAAGATTTGGACTGAGTTGGTCATTAAAGACGATCAAATTCAAGCTTAATTATGAAAAATCTATCAAATATGCCATAAAACGTCACTTTTCAGATGGTTTTTGTCTAAAATGTTAGTGGCCGCATTCGTGTTCAGTCTCAACCTTTATATATGTTATGTATTATCATCAAATACAACATATATTTAAATATTAAGACTGAACACAAATGCGGCCACTTCCATTTTGGACAAAAACCGTCTTAAAATTAGCACAAATGCTAAAATTGTGTCGAGTTTCAGTAATATTGCATGAATTTATGATGCATGTGCATTGTATTGTCAAAAACAGCCCATATTTATCTGTTTATGGAACAGAAGTATTCTTCTTTCCAATAAATAGCTAAAAATTTACATTTTAACAAATTGGTAAAATGCTATATTTTGGGGCCAAAAAGGGGTCTTACCGGGCCTACTCCTTTGTCAAAATAAGCTCAAACACATCGCTGATGTATTATTGACTTGCAAGTGAATGATTCGACCTCGTGTGAATTCGTATTCATGTGAACTTCAATTTAACCCTTTTGGCTGGAGATGGGTTACGCATGTATTAGACGTGTTCAGCTAATGCAAGGAAAATAATGTCAACATTGAAAGTGAAACAAAGGTGAACCATTTCGTTGACTGATATTATCCACAAATAATCATTCTTATACAGGTAAAAACGATGATATGCATACTTTTGTAACCTTTCACATTAAATTAAACATACCTAGAAAAATCCAATTGCACGTGGTCCCTATTTATTTCTTTTTCTATTTATGTTTATATCTGGTTATATGACTGTCGGCAGTCTTCGGAGGACATATCGATGGTTAATTAGATGGCGACTATACATGCTGATATATATTATCGAGTCCATGCATTGCATATTGTTTATTTTAGACTTTTTTACAATTTGGATATATGTTTTAGTATGTTATAATTCAAATATGAGAATTTGAGTCAAAACGGTGAACATGAATTTGACAGCTAATGTCCCTTTAAAGCAGACTACATTGAACGTTGTCACAACGAAAATATAACAAAAATAATGGAAAACTTCAACAGAGTACGAACTTTAGCAACAGTATCTTATCGATGTTCAAATATCGTAAATTGATTAATAAAAGGCAATTCAAAGTAACAAACATACACAAACTGAAAACTGATGGAATCGCATATACACCGACAGGAGCGTTACCTGGTGCGTCGACAGGGTAATTGTACTATGTTAGAGCGGTTTCTGTGTATAGAGCACTCTCTTGTTAAAGAAGTCGGTATAGTGTGAACATGCATGAGCGAAACGTTTTAACTGAGGTATGTAAACGCCATACGGTAAAGCAGAGGATACATGGGAAGTTTTAAATTGAAAAGTTATCGAAACTGTCCATTATTTGCATTTTTAATATGATGATCAGTTAACACCACGAATTACCTACCTCTACTGTGCGTTTGAAAATGCCATTAAAAAATATCTGATCATTGATAAACACGTTTTGTTTTCCTTTTCGAAAAATTAAATCCTTCTAACGGGATGACTGAGCGACATCTGTTGTGCTGGATTTCATGTCATAACGTAACACAACTTTCAATAAAATGTGCTCGCTTCAATACATAAAAGGAAATATCTATTTGGTCTGTTAACGTCTTAGATTCAAGCGTCACGGATGGGTCTTTTCTAGACGAAAACGCGCGTCTGACGTGCAAAATTGTAAGTTTAGTATCTTTAAAAAAATATAAGGATTAAAATTTTGTACGCGAGACACTTCAACTTATAGTGCCTACTTCCGGTAGATGTAAACGCTCATAACTGTATCAATACAATGATTTTTCATGATTAGAATTAACACATAAACGTTAATTGCTTAGTCAAATATGTCCTACATTTTCAAGTATTTTACAATTTGAATGAACAAAAACGCGTTTGTACACCTAAACTATAAACATAACATAAATAACTCATTTGTACCCGAACATACTTTTGTTTTAACTATACATTTGTCATGCTTAGGATTAAGTTTCTTATCAGTATTAGAATTACTGTCATCTTTTGCATTTACACCACTATATAAATAACACATAGCTGAGAGGGTGATAGAGCAGATTGTTACCCCGAGAAAACATTGTCAACTGAGGCAAAGCCAAGGTTGATAATGTCTTTAAAAAATTTCGGTTAGTTTATATGCTTGGTTATCATCATAAAATATTTTCTGAGAGATAATTGAAGGTCATCCCTCTTAAACAATAAATTTCATTTAGAGACAACAGCAGTTTACTGCAGTTTAAATCTCTATAAACTATAAGGACGATACAAATCAAGTAAAACACTTAAACTAAAGGTATCGCTTGACCTCCAAACGGAAACAGACTAATGCATCGACAGGGTACGCGTCTTCTGCTTTTCATTCATCACGTGCAATGCAAATTCACACTCAATCAAAAAGGTCACATTCTGGCCAAGGACACAACTGGTATATTTACAATTCAGACAAATCTGTAAAAATCGAAGACCACAAAATCATGTCGCTAGTAATCTGAACTTTCAATTTCATAATAATACGTGTGATGGTAAATCAAAAGTGATTAATAACAACATTTAATAACATTTTTTTTTTCAGATGAATTGATCCTTTACCTTATATGATACAAAATGTTATTATTATTATGAACTGTTTTCGGACTTTTTTTCTCATAACTCTATTGGAGGGGTTATAGTGATAATTGCAACACTGTATAAATAAAGTCTGTATAGTGTGACCATACACGAGCTCAACGTATTAATTGAGATATGTATACACTATACGATGGGACAGAAGGTATGTTCCTGATGAGAAATTTGAAGACGACAGTTTGGCTTAGAATCTAGTTTGAAGTCGTCCATCTGTGTCAATATCCAGGAAAAGACCAAGACAAGAAGAAAACCTTTTAGTTTCGGTAGCTAGTATCCCTTTTCATACTTTCATTTTGATATGTGAGATACAATCACTTCACTGAAATGTGGGTTTCTGAGTGACGGGTCATTCTCAATATATATGACAGTGAAATAAAATAACTTTTCAAGATGCTTTTTGAATTTGTCTTTTACAAGATTCTGTTTAAATTATCCTAGGAATACAAAAACAAGTCGACTAGAAGGTGTTCTCATGTGATCACCGAGTGTCTGTTAAAATATCAATTCATCGAACTCAACTGTACTTTATTTTCCCGATGTTCAAAATTCTTATGGTTGATAACATTGGGCTAGACCACAAAATTCCAATTTGTAAGATAATAAAGGAGGATAAATATTTGGAGGTAGATGTAAAAATCATAACAAATGAACTTTCACCAGTTTGATATGGTTCATGACATTTGTCTAAATTTTGAAAAGATGTTGTCTAGCGATATACTAATTTTAACCCCCTTTACAAAACACCCCTGGAATTTTATGATAACTAAGGGTATAATACTTGTATGGTAAATGCCAAACACTGTTAAAATCAAATCTGGTCAGTATTTATATTCTTAATAACATTACAGCGAGTTTAAATTTCAGAAGATATGGTCATGCGGTACCACTTTTTTTAATTCCGGAAACAAAAGGGTAAGAAACGGGCAAACCGAAGAACGGTTCTAATTGAATTCAAGCGAATTGTCTAACCAATACTGAATTTACTGTATTGGTTAGGACTGAAAGACTAAAAATTACTTAAATGTTTATTTTTCAGTCTTTTACGAGCTGTTAAAATCAGAGTGGCCGTTTCAGTTCACAATTAATACACCAGTGTATGTTAGTAAAATTCTGGTGTTAGATGCATATATCATTAACGTTTAAACCACACTCATTCAACCCATATAAGATTGTGTGACTTTTCGACGACTAACCTCTTATCCAGTATTTTCAT